ATCTTTCCCGCCACGTGCAAACATGCGCATATCATTCCATCAACAACAAACCGCTTACCAGGAAAACTGACAGGACTTAACAATAAAACCGTGTGGAGCCTGGAAGCTAGAACGCAGAAATGAAAAATGTAATGATTCTATGTGTCTACGGAAGTCTAATGATGCAGAATTTTAATTCTTTATTCAAAAGAATAGGTTCAATTAAGCGGTGGTGTCAAAAATAGGGTAAGAGAGCCCTAAAAATAAAACGCCCTTTCCCATTTTTGAAATTGTTCATCCCATTCCCAGTGGTTGAATCCCAGTCCCAGTGCAGTGAATTCCATTTTCCCAGCCCAAAAAATGGCAAATCCCAGTTCCCATTTTACCCCTTCACGCCCCTCTTTATTGACTATGCATGAATGACATAATCGCAATGCTTCTATTGTTTAGTTGTATCAGTACACATAACCAACTTTTTGTATTTTGCCAGGTTTTGTGCAGGGTCAARCCCAAAAATAGTCAACAAAAACGTACTTGTAAACAAGAACTAACCAATTTCGAGCACTCGTGACACCAGCCCTCCCCGAGAAGAATATTATATTGTGCAATTACATAGAGACGAGGCTAAATTTGGGGAAGCAAAATGGCGGCTTGTTGTTTATAAATGTTATATCGACAAAAGATATGGACGACCTGGAAAATAATGCGGAGGATCTTCCTGACGGTAACTAGCTTTCATAATTTTATTGCATTTCTTAATCTTTCTGATGAAAACAGACACTGATATTGTAGTGCTTTGCGCTGTCAGACATTAATGTCCTCAGAGCTACCATTCAAGATTTGAAGCGAAAAGAGCACCAGCTTGTAAAAAGTAAAGAACAAAGCGAAATTGAATTTGGCCAGAGAAGAGCGAAATTTAAAGAGCTTTATATGGCAAGGGAAGGTGAGAATGCTTCATCTTTGTTTTTAAGATCGATGCTTTCGCTAGTTAGACAGATCATCAGATAAATATTTACTGCTGTGTAAGTTACATGTAATTAACTACACTGTGTCTAGGTCAACATCAAGCTTGTGCATTTCTAGCTTAATTCGGTAATGTCCTTCTACTGTGAATGTTTGATTATTAAGAAGTTATGTTATTATGTTTTGTCAATGCATACCTTCTTTCATTGCACAATAAACCACACATTTGTACAAGTGTAGCTTAAACACTATACAAACTGGCCGTATCTTTGACAGGATAGGTTAGATTTATACCTCACTTGCTTTTACTGGATATTTTAAAACTAGTTTTCTTTAATTTATTGAAGTTTATTATTTAAAACGGTGTGAACATTGTTTTGCAATTTAGAGTTATTAACAACTGCATCGTGGTGTATGGAAGATGGGTGCCTGGGATGTCTGGGGGCCTCCACTGTGACCAGCCAGTCCCTAGACAGTATAACACTCCCATGGCTGGCAGTCCCTGCAACCCAGCCATGAGCCCCCACGCAGTCTTCCAGGCACCCGTCACACTGAGTTAACAGTGGAGATGGGGAGGGGAGGGGGGAAA